TCTGGAACAAACTGCCCGAATCATGCACGTCCGCAGAAACTCTTACTATTTTCAAATCGAGACTGAAAACATATATTTTTGCTGCTGCTTTTAATTGAACTGCTTTTAATTGAACTGCTCATATTCGCACTGCAGTTTGCTTTTTATTCATGTATTGTATAACTGCTGTGTTTATCTTATCTTTGCCTGTTATAAAATGCCATTATATAATGTGTTTTTACTGTATTTATTCTTAAATGTCTTTTATTTTATTTTGTAAAGCACTTTGAAATGTGGCGTACTGAAAGGTGCTATATAAATAAACTTGCATTGCCTTGCCTTCCTGATAATAATTTCAGCCATTCAGGGTTTTACAAAACTAGAGGACAGGAAACCACACTGACCACTGGGGCACTGTTATCAACCCCAGCCCCAAAAAGCACAAGGGCTCAAATCCATGTTTTGGTACTGATTAATTTACCAACATGTGGGATCTAATACTCAAATAATAGCAGCAATAGAGTTTATAAAGAAAATGTTCCAGTGACCCCCTCTGGTTGCTAACAGACATTACATTTGTAATCTCCTGGCATTGTCATAAATCAGATATCCATTGTGCAGAGGGCAAATTGGCCAACTACAGAGTTTAAAACCAAATTGTTATGCTCTGCCTACATTACATTTGATATAACTGAAAATACAGTTGCAGAGTGTATTCAAAATATGCATATTAACATGTTATATAAAACGCAATACACATTATTTGATGTCTTTTTAGCTTTTCTATTTTTTAGAGAAATTTGTTCACTGTGTCTCCTTCACCCACTTCACTCACCAACATTCTATGTCACCTGGCAGTTATTGAAATTTGACAGATATAAACCTTTATTGATGAGGTCAGATTACCTGATAAACTCTACTCAACTAACTGAAAGATTGACTTTTGTTTGGCTCAAGACAACTTTGAGGTTGCCAAGTGCAGAATTTGAGTCGAGTAAATTGTATTTTTACTTTACTAGAATGAAATATGTTTTTTTCATTTAAAGAAATTGCAACCATCTTAATGATTTTAACTTGTAGTAATTGTTTATGCATGCATTCTGGTTTATAGGCATAACAAGTGGCAATAATGGCAATCAGGAAAATTAAGAATTGTTTGACACATTATTATTTATTTAAATGTTTTTTCACATGACCATCAAACACAAATACAGATTGCAGTATGCAGCATTGTTACATGTACTATCAATAATATATGCTCACCCCCATTTTCTGTCCATTTCTAAATAAAACTAAACATTATTTTTATGCTTTATTTAAAAAAAACTGTCAAATTTATGTTTAGGCTTTTTAGCTTAGCTCATTAAGCTAATTGTGAAGGTTGAGTCAAATAATTATCTCAAGTTTTCTACCCTCAACTCTTACATAAGAGCTGTATTGAGCAGGAGCCTGCTCCAGATAGTCAGTAACAGCAAAGTAATATTGATTCACTACAGTTCTAAACACATCCAGAATGTAATTTATGGTCTTATTCATAGACCAATTGTCTAGTGCTGTGTTTGCAAACTTGGTTATGGTTGCCATCAAGTTTAAGTAACTCTCATAAAAAGCATTAATGTAAAAAGCAATGGCATCAGATTGAGCTTTGTCAATAAATAAAGTATTTTCTAGCTGTGCAACAGTGTTTTTAAAGAGGATGGACACCTCGCTCAGATGTGGGGCATGGTTGTTTGCAATGTTGTGGGCCTCCTCAGTATAGTAAATAATACTATTCTTTAGCTGAGCAGAATGTTTGAGCAGTTGGTGTTTTTCAGCAAAGCTGGAAAAACAAGAGGCTATGGCAGGAATTCTTTCTTTTAGTCCACTGAGCATGATGTCTGGCGTCTCCATGTTAAAGATCATCTTCACATTCCTTTTGTTGGCTTCCTTGGCAGAAGCTCTGATGGCGAAAAAATCGACATCCTTCGCAGGATCAGACTGTTTAACAAAATAAAACATTAGAAAAAATGTGATGTAACACTCTTGATCATTGTACATTTGTAAAGAAAATATCAGTATGAGCTCCTTACAGCATAACGGCCATAAATCCTGGAATTCATCTGAAGTGGGCTCCGACCATGAAGCTGAAGACCCAGAAAGCCGGTAGATGGGATAGAAATTGTGGCACTAATTCCATCTTTGCGCACAGTGTAACGTAGATTTACGTCAGTGAAGGCAGGGCTGTTAATGTCCGCATTCAGGGTAAGACGCGAGTCGCTGTAGAGACAGACAGGAATGTGTCACTTTTCTAGAGTAAAGAAGGCAACTTTATCCAAGAAATATAACTATTTAATAGGAAATAATAACGAGTATAGTTGATAATATGGTCTCTTCTTGGGATACAGGTGAAAATGTACTTGATTCCAACTTACAACTTTAAATTCCCAAACATATTTCACACAATGTTTATTTATACTGTTACCTCGATGTATGGGAAATAATGTGTTGAATGTCCATGCTCAGATCTGTGTGGGTGAAAACTGCCTTCCCAGTAAGGCTTACGCCAGCATGTTCCAAGTTGATGGTAATGGAAGCTGTTGAAGCAAATTGATTGCATAAAAAAATAATCATGATGTTTCTTTTAGGATGTAAAAGTAGAATTTATATATTACAAAAAAACCACAACAACTTACAGTCCAGGTCATACTCCAAGAAGACAACTGGAGAGGTGGAAGAAGACCTAAAGTTGACTTTGAAGACAGGAGCACTGCCCTCTACTTCAGCTGCAACGTTTGTGGTGTACAGCGGGCTGACAAACTTGCCATTGATGAAGATCTTCTGCTTGGCACCTGTCACATCAGTAACAGCCTTCTCAAAGAAGGAGAACATCCCCAGGCTACTCGGCTGAGATATTTCAATCTCCATATCAGCAGCCAAGGAAGAGGTTGGTGCAAAGTCAATATTTGCATTGACATCATGCTTCCCGTTGGTGTTGAAATTGAATAAGTGTGCCTCATTGTTGCCACTATACTTTAATGCTGCATAAACACGGCTAAGTGATGCCTCAACAGCAAGATTCTCATTTACATCCATGGCAATGACTTTGGTGGTAGCTTGGTTAAGTTTGGCATCAGCAATAATCTTGGAGGTGGAGCGTAAGCCATCATTATTCAAATACAAATTGAAGTCATTATCCAGACCTCCTAAAAATGAATTGTCTTCAAGCATTGTACTATCGATGTTGGCCTTGGTTGATGATTCCATGGAAACAAACTCAAAGCTTCCCTCCAGCTTCAGACTATGGTCTAACTCTGCCTTTCCAACAGCCTTGATCAGAGGGAGGTTGATATCACCTGTCATCCTGAAGGTGGAGACAGCATTAGCATTGGTTTTGGTGTCTGCAACCAAATGTTGGTTTGCCTCAAGGTTGAGTATTGGCAGGGCAATCTTTGCAACAGTAGACACAGAGACAGCTGTTTCAAAAGTCTCAGTACTCATGCTGATGGTGCTGTCATGGGTGCC